TGGTATCACTGATGTCAATAAACAAGGTAGTTAGGTAATCAGAAATAAGTTTGAGTCAAATTCTGAAGGATTTATATTTGGCAGGAGAAGTTAAAAAGTAGATGCCGCAAGTCAAGCTGTACGTGCCTAGCTTCTTCAGGTGCTTGAGTTGGAAAACCCAGGACTTAATACTAATGAGTTTTATCTTACCTGTAAGATTGGAGTTAGATGAGCACTGGATGTTATACACAACTAATGAATTATTGAACTCTACATCTGAAACTAATGATGTACTATATGTTGGCTAATTGAACTTAAATTTAAAAAAAAAGATTGGAGTTAGATTAGCATCACCAGCATAAAATTCTATGGTTCTTAAATGATAGAGTGAGGCTCCCTGAATTTGAGCAGAGGCAAAAATGAAAACCTTTATTATGCGGCTTTATGTTAGAATCAATCTCTTCTCTAGATGAAAACAACCACTGAATATATTTAGGATGTTTCTTTGCTCTTGATATTTTACCTCATAGTGGTCAAAAGAGGAACATAAAAGATTTTTTCCTACAAAATGTTATTTTGGGGCACCTGGGTGGCTCAGTTGGTTAAGCATCTGCCTTCGGCTCAGGTCATGATCCCAGGGTCCTGGGATCGAGCCCCACATCATGCTCTGTGCTTAGCGGGGAGTCTGCTTCTCCCTCTCCCTCTGCTCATGCTCTCTCTCTTACTTGCTCACTCTCTCTCTCAAATAAATAAATAAAATCTTTAAAAACAAAACAAAACAAAATGCTATTTTTTCTTTTAAAAGGAGAAAAGTATTTCTGAAGTCATTACTATTTTAATTTATTGCTCCTAGATTTGATGTCAGATAGCAGAGCGATGCAAAATGAAATTCTCTGGAACTTGTCTTCTCTTATCACATTTTGACTGCAGACAGTAACGAGCAGTTTTTGCTCTTCTCGAACACTAAGATATTCTTAGTTACGAGCTGAAATCTCGGTGACTGTTTGTTAAATGGGTACATTTTACAGTAATCCCATGTAAATGCATAAAGACTGATTAATGTAGTCTTTTCACAACAATTTATCTTGTGAGAACTGGTGCTTATGCATTTGTGCGGAGGCACAAGAGTCAGCAACGATGTGCTCAGTACAGCTCTTGCGTTCTGTGGTTTGCAGTTTAGACAGTAAGAAGAGTAACATAATAAGAAACATGAGACCTACATAATAAACAATACTTACTATTTGTGATCGAATTGGATATTAATTTTATGGCAATTGATTTCAATTAATTGCATTCCATCTATTTTTTAAAGTATGCATAACAGAAAACTTAAACATAGCATATTTTCTACATACCTTTTATTTCCATTATCACTTTCACAAACAATATGTGGAAGAAGCTGGTAGGTTTTTACCAAAAGCCTCTTTATTCTTCTTCCAGCCTTAAGGCTAGACTACTTTCCCAGCTTCTCTTGTAACTGGATATTGCCATGTGAGTTGTTCTCAGCAGTGGAATTTAACAAAAGTGTGTGTTATCCCTGGACCAAGGATTTTTGAAGTGGGTATGGTTCCTCCACCCTATCTTTTTCCTTTTGCTTATCTGGATATAAAACCCAAGGAGATAGCAGGGCCCAGATAAGAAAGGTGCTTAAATTACTGTGTGAAAGAAAGTAGACCACTGATCAATTCTCACTCTGGAATATTGAGAAAGTGAAAAATAAACTTCAATTTTGTTTGAGTCATTATGTATTTCAGGTTGTTTTGTTGCTTATTCTAAATATTACAATGTAATGGTATTGAGTGGCCTTCTTCTTTAATGAAATAAAGTAAGATTCACATTCCCACAAAACTATAGATAAAGTGTGTGATGGGAGTTACTTCTATTTTCTATCCAAATCCTTCTTGAAATTTGAATTCGACAGTAAGCATAAGTGCAGAAAATGTCATTTAATTGTTTTAACAATGTAAAACTATTGTGAATATAGGCAAAAACATATTCATAATGAGTAACTATATAGTTGAAATGAGGTGATACTGAGATCAAAAAATCTATTGAAACTAATATTGTTTGCTTTCTTTTTGCATCCATATTATCCTTGCACTTAAAAGACAGATTATTGTCACTTACTAAATCTTTGTTGTTGTCATGGCCCATGCTTCTTTTCTGCTTGATCTCAGTAACTTAAGCTTTACAAACAAAACCATCCTTGATTTTAATAAAACAAGCACTTTTTATTGTTACTAAAGAATGGTTGTATGACACCCTGCACTTAAGACAGTATATAGGTAAAAGATCATATTTGAAATAAAATGTACAGAAGGAGTATTAGTAAGTGTGGTTAGAAGAGTGTGTACCTCTGTGGACTAAATCCTTTCATTGATATAAGGCACTAAGACTAATGAAAGAGGTAATTTTCACTACCTCATCCTAAACCTATTTGACTACGAAGAAGACATATCTCATCTTAATCATTACTCCTTGGCTATTAAAAACCAGTAGGAACAGAGGATAACTTAGCATATTAATTGGTTTTATATTTGTTTGAGAGACTTTTTTGCCTTGAATGAATAACATTAGTTGTTTTTCTGGATCTGTACGTATTCTGTTCCCAAATTTCTTTGGATTTATTTAAGCAGTGGTTCACAAAGTGGGATTCCTGATCTAGCAGTATGTCCTTTAATGGGAACTTATTAGAAATGGAATTTCTCTGGTAACACCACAGACCTACTGAATCTGAAACTCTTGGGATGGATTTCAGAAATCTGTGTTGTAACAAGCCTTCTGGAGATTCTCTTATATGTTAAATTTGAGGACTATTAAGCTAGAAGAACTGGTGTAGGGGGTGAGTCCTCTTTACTCATGTGAATTAGTTGATGTAATGCCTTCTGCAAAATTGCTGCTTAAAAATGTCCCTCAGGGGTCCCTGGGTGGTTCAATCGTTGAGCGTCTGCCTTCGGCTTTGGTCATGATCCCAGGGTCCTGGGATCGAGTACCGCATCGTGCTCCCTGCTCCGCGGGAGGCCTGCTTCTCCCTCTCCCACTACCCCCTTGCTTGTGTTCCCTCTCTCGCTGTCTCTCTCTCTGTCAAATGAATAAATAAAATCTTGAAAAAAAAGTCCCTCAGTTTTGATAGAAAATGTTGTTTTCTTGTAGTGATGTTAGTGGTGAGAAAAGGAGAATGTATAGTTTCTAAGCTGAGAGTAACCATGAAGACTATCTCTTCTTACTAAAATATTTTTACTCATGACTATTTCCTGCCTTCTATTATCAAAATCTTCCTTTCTGTGATATCAACTACCAAGTATCTTTTAACTGTGTGTCAGCCACATGTGGGGATTATACTTAAAATTAAAACTTTTATTTGATGTGTGAATGGGAGTCAGGCAAATTAACATTCTTCTTGGAAATGGTAACATCGGAAGCTGTAATTGGCAAATGTTGATTACTAAGGAAATTAGAACCAAGGTTTAATAAGGAAGGAATTCTTCTACAGAGAGACATATTAACTGTCTTTAAACATAGGAAGTTCTCTCATGTGTAAAGGACATTTTATGTTTTCTGGGCAATTCCAGGGAGTGATAGTTAAGAGGACTGATTCTGATTAATATGTAAAAGCTATTATTAAATTACTTCTATCTGAAAATGGACTGGGCTATCTCTTGAGTTAATGAGTTTACTGTAGTTAAGAGTAGTTAAGCCACATCAAATGGTAGGTTGATAGAGTGGTTTAGACCCTACTCAAAGTGTGGTCTTATCTGGGAGTTGTTAGAGGTACAAAATCTCATGGTTTACCCCAGTTCTAGTGAATCAGAATCTACAATTTAACAAGCTCCATTGGTGATCTGTATGCACCCTGTGTTTGAGAACTAGTGCTCCAGTAGACATCTAATGAATCATCTAATTGTTCTTATACTTAATTCTTATAGGATTGTGTTGTGATGCAGAACTTGAGTAACAGTCTAGAAGAGAAGGAGGAAATACATGAGCATGGCCTCACATTCCACTGTGGGGCTGCTAAATGAAGTAAATGCTACTCTAGAAGAAAAGATTCTGTTTCCTGAATATTGTACTTAATTTAAGTAAGCTGGCATTTGAATACTACTTCTTTAGTTAGCTTTGGACTCTTTGTGTTAACCAAAAATGAAATATACCTCTTGGATTTCTTGCAAGATACTTGCATTAACCCCCATATTAAACCCAATGTTTAACCCTTCTCCCAGTTCCCTCCTCCATGCCCTCTTCCGGTTCACTAAAACTAGGATATGCTAATTTCCCTCACTGAAACATTTCCTTTTTGTTTAGGTACTGGTTTCGTCTCCTGCTTTCTCCCTATACCTGGTTGGATGGGTTTGTATCAATGGAGAGTAGCGGCAGAAGGAAAGAATAGGTAAAGGGATGTGTAGGTATAGGGGGAACTGGAACGCGTTCTAGAAACCAGACTTCGCCCAAAGCTGAAATTTACTAGGGCAGGGAGTACTAAACACACACCCCTTATAGCCAAAGCAGTGAATGGAGAGGAGCTGGAGAGGTAGTGAGAAGTGACAGATGCCACCACACCCTAGCTTGACTCAGGTCAGCCGTGACTACCATGCCCTGGTCCTGGGAGCAGGAAGCTGCTTAAAGAAATGACAAGCACGGAAGGCCAGAGAGCCAGAAGGTGCCCAAGCGCATTCATTCGCCTTCCCCCGGCGTGGGCGGTCACACGCTTCCCTGTAGAGACCATTGTGCGGGGGAAGCCCGGACGAGGAAGAGCGTCTCCCCTGCCCACACCTGCCCATCCCCAGCCCTTGGCTTCTCCGGGGGCACTGGGAGCAGCGCCAGCGCCGGCAGCCCGGGAGCGGCTTTGAGGGAGTCGTGTGTATCCGCGAGCGCGTGTGCGTGAGGAGGAGAGCAAAGACGTGATTACTTCAGAATTTATTTAAGGGCCGGTGGAAACCACTGCAGCAGCTTCCAGGGGAAGCCCTTGTTCCAGAGGAAGAGGAGGTGGCGGCTGCCAAGGAGAGGAGGGGGGAGAGACCGAGGAGGAGGAGCCCCGGCAGCCACGGCACGAGGCAAGTGAGGAGCGAAGATGCTGTAGCAGCCGCACCGGCTCCCAGCAGGTTGGTTCCTCCGGCCGACTGATGCAAGCAACGAGGCTTGCAAAGAGGCTGGGAGGAGAAACTGGGTGTGGGGGGCCGACTGTTTGCCTTTCCGGAGAAGAGGCGCCTCTTTTGAGTTCAGTGAGACACCCTAGCGCAGAAATAGTCCGGGGGCCAGGAGAGGACCCGTCGTGCTTCCCGCATCCCTGGGGACTCGCTTCCCCATAGCTTTCCAACTCGCGACGTTCGCCTTAAACTCCGGAGGGGCTCCGGGAGGGGGACTGGGTGGAGAACTTCTCTTCCAGATACTCCTCACGCCTTTCCCCAAAGCTCACGTTTGGAGGGACACCCTTCGGGTGGCCTGGACGCGGAGGGGGAGCAGTGTGGCTTGGTTAAGTTTCTATAAGTCAAACCCAGTCCCCAGCTCCCGGCTCCCCGCCCCGGGTCTCCAGCTGCACGCGCGGAGTCCAGGCTGCTCCGGCAAAGGGGCCGCTACTGCTTTAAGAGCCGCCTCCCCCTCTCCTCCCTTTGACAATGGTCTGAACCGAGCTCTGCTTCCCAAAGCAAAATTTGTAATATGCCATTTTTCCGATGGACGCTTCTCCTTTGGACTGCTGACGGAGCCGCGGGAAGATGCCGGCTTGCTGCCACGCCACCCAGCCGGGGCACGTTCCGGGAGGGCGCCGGGGCACTCGAGTGTCTAAGCTGCCTTTCTCCTCCGGTTGCTAGGGAAATGGTCCAGGAGTGCCGGGCGTGAGCTTCCCCTCTCGTCAAGCCTGAGACTGCGGTTGTCATTGATCTATTGAAGAAGCAAGACCCGAAATTACAGACATTAGGTACAGAAACTGTGCTTGAGTTACAAGGTTTCCCTTCCGCTTTATTTTTTTTACCACCCCCTACCTCCCCGGCCCCACCCCGCCCCCAGGGAAGATGAGATGCAAATTCCTCCTTGCCAATTACTGTTCCATACCTTTTGCTTTCCACCCCCATCCTCTCCCTTCTCCTATTTCTCCACCTCCTCCCTACTTGGCTCTCTCTTGCTGGGCGAGAGATAAAGAATTTTAGTGTGGAAATTATTAAGTCAACTTCAGGGTGGTGGGGGGGGGGTGTGGCTGAGCGATAACTGTCCAGCCGTGTGGCTAGAGCTGCTCTTGGCCATCGGTAAAGAAAGTGCAAAATGCTTCTATTAGAGGTGATAATAATATTTCCTGAGGACAGGGAAGATTTCAAAGAGTTAAATAGGAGGAGGAATATTCATGTAATGTAATCAGACAATGGCTAGGATTTCTCTCACCGAATTACTCCTTGTGGGTTAACTGAGGTGGAGCTGGGTTGGTTCTTAAGACTAAATCTTTGAAGAGGAAACTAACTACCGAGAATAATCGCATCTTTGCCTGTAGGAGGGTCTAAATCCCAGTGATCTGCTTCTATGAAGTGATTCATTGACAGAAAAAAAGCCTTTTGTAACACTATCATATTTGAATAGGTACTGCTTGAGAGGCATATATTGCTAAGAAGCACACTGCATCTCGAAAGCCCTTGGGCAATGACTCCAGTGGGCATTCAAAACTTTTATTTTGAAATCTGAGAGATTTGGGAGACAGTCAAGGTTATGTACTAAGAGTAAGGGAGTTGGTTTTCCTGGTATCAAATTCTTCAAGCTAAATTTAAGCACCGGGATAATTAAATCAATATTTTATTATTTTTTCTTCTCACAACAAAATAAATATCTCTAGGTCTTAAAACCTTCAGTAATTAATGAAAAAGGCATCAACATTTAGAAAAGGATAACAATTCATATATCCATTTGACTTTGGGGAGGGGTGCCGAAAAGGCAAATATCAAAGTGAGCTGTTAGGACGTCCTTCCTGGTTTTTCAGGAATTATGTGATACAATACAACTTTTAATACTGAAAATGATTGTGAAAGTTAAAAGTGGCATATGAGGATGAAGTATACTAGAGGGTAAATAGCCTCTGGAAGTTGCTTCAGATGTTGTCCGTTTCTATAAGAGGGTGTTGAACATTGAAGATAGATTTTTAATTGATTTTAATATCTAAATATGCATTTAAGAAATAGGTTAGACTGTATTTTCAGGATTATGCAAGACAAGTATTTTGTAATTTATATTAGAATCCGAGTTCTATTGCAAGAACAAAGCTAGTTCATGAAAGTGACCTTTATTTTTTGTAGAAAATTTTTTTCTCCTAGTTTTGATGACAAGATTTTAGATTTACTCATTTGGGTTGACTGTTGGTGGAGAAAAAGCAGAGAAATTCATTTTATTTCCTAAGTAACTTTAGCATAGCTTGATTTTTCCCAGTTGGATTTGAAGAGTTCAGAGTACCCACCAGAATTAAAACTTTAGGCATGGAATCAGAATGAATCGTAAAGGCACAATATTCTTTCTGCAAAGGTGAATGTTGGTCACCTTATAAAATAAATAAATACTTGTATTTGTAATTGTCCTTTAAATTTTACTGTGTGATCTCAGTCAAGTATTCTATTGGAGACTTACAATGGACTTGTTTTAAAAAAAAAAAATCATGGATTCTTATCCCTACTTACAGAAGAGAAAACTGAAGTTTTGAGAGGTGATGTGACTTGTTCTGGTTCCAATGCTGCAGGAGTGGAATTGAATCAAGTTGAGTGTAGAATTAATAGACTAAGACCCTAAGTCCCTAAGCTGCTTCTCATCATAGCATCTTTGGACTGACTAATTCAGAGACCAGCTTTTATACTGATATAAGAGTCTAAAGTCTGTGAATGTCTAATATCTCATGGTGGCAACAAGCCTTTGTTAGAATTAGGGTCATGTATTCAGAAGGAAGTTGTAGCTGCAATTACGCTTTTCCTTGGAATTTAAACCTTTTTATAAGTAATTCAGAGTCAAGATGTGCTAATGGCTTTTTTCCAAGAAGGAGATGTTTTAAAATACAGATTTAGGAATGTTTAAGTAACCCTAAAATGTAAACCTTGCAAGTGTTTTGGCACAAATTGTCACAGTGCAATCATTTCCTCTCCCAGTATTTTGTTTTAACCTTAAATGTCAAAAAGAAACACATTGGCTTCTGGTAATGATTTCTCAGAATGACACAGCTGTTCAGTGTGTGGATTTTCATGCGTGACATGTGAACTAATTGTTTTTAATATTCAAATGTGTTAGAACAGTTTTTTTTTTCCAATTCCTTTTCAATTAATGTAAAGAAAATGTATAGCAGTTAGAAAAGAGTCTCTTTTTTCCAGGTTTGTGATAATGTTTAAATAATATTCAAACTGAGAAAAACACACAAAAAAAATACTATTTTTTCATCCATTAGGTGGTTAGCGACAGTAACAATGCACGAATGTGTGTGTGTGTGTGTGTGTGTGTACATGCATGCGTGTGCACTCACATGTGCGTTTAAATAAATCTTACGTATCTATTCTGTTACCTATTTTAGAGTGATTTAACAAGTCAAATATTTGCCTTCAGGTAGCCCAGTGTTTTGAGTGATGAGCAATAATTCAAAGTATTATCTTAAATTATCCTAAAATTCATACGCCCCTGTAATTTTTTTACATAGGATATCAGTAAGAAAATACTTTCCTTTTATCTTTTAAAAAGTTTCTCCTAGTTTTCAGGGGGCCCTGACCAAATCACTCATATAATTGAATTTATCTCTTCAATAACCCAATTTATTTGAAGAGTCACATAAAAGTATTAACTATTGAGCTGTTAAGTCTTGACATTTTATTTGACTATATCACCAGAAATATTTTCCTAATGGACAGGAATATATAGGCAGAAAAATGAATTGACCTTGCATTATAAAACCAAAGAATGCTCCAGGATCAACAGCCAAACCAGCATTTCTCCACATCAGCCTTCTGCAAAACCACCCCCTCTAATTAATAGCTCCTGGCCTCAGTACAACAGCTGAAATTGAGATGGGTTTGATTCTTTTTTGAACACAAGATAAAAGATAAAGGAAAAAATGAGATAATTTCTGATTTTTTAAAATGTCATACAGTAGATCAGTGTTGCATCTTGAAGTCTGTTGTCTATTATAAATCAAATTAAATTATTTAAAAAATATTCTGAATAGTTCATTTATTTCATGACTGAAAGCTTGTGATTAACAGCTGAGATGTGAAGTAACTACATTAGCTAATGTAATTTATGGTTTCTGTTTTGGGGAATATTTGAGAGTGTTATTTTGTATTGTTTGGATGGAAAACTGACAATGCAGTTCACAGGAAACAAAAGAATATTAGGGGCAATTATAATAACCTAAACAACCTCAGTCTATTTCATAGAGCTTACATTTAATTTAGTCAATATCACTTTATCTACTCTGTGTAGATTACCTTAACAATTTAGCACATAAAAGTGATAAAATGGGAGTTGTAAAGTCAAGAAACTTTAAACTAGTTGGTATGAAAAAAACCTGTTGATAAAATCTGAAAAAAAGTAAAAACTGATTATTATATAATTTATATATAAAATGAATCCTTAATTATTTGTAGATTCCCTAAATAAAGAGTGAACATTAATTCATTCAATTATTTAAGTCATTCAAAAATCAATTACTTCCTACCCATGAAGTGCTAGACACTGTGCTTGCTTTTAACAATATAACAAATAAGGGTAAGATGGTGGTATTTGCTGTAAGAGATTTGTAAACTTACAGGGGTAGAAAGGTGATCAACTAGTAAGTTGAATAACATGCTACTATAAATTGAATTGGAGGAATAAATCATGAAAAAAAAACCAAATCTTTTTTTTTTTAAGATTTTATTTATTCATTTGACAGAGAGAGAGGGAGCACAAGCAGGGGGAGTGGGAGAGGGAGAAGCAGGCTTCCCGCTGAGCAGGGAGCCCGATGCGGGGCTTGATCCGAGGACCCTGTGATCATGACCCGAGCCGAAGGTGGACGCTTAACGACTGAGCCACCCAGGTGCCCCAAAAAACACCAAATCTTTGAGAAGTAGGTGGAACCAACCTGTATTTTGTAGGTAGGAGCTTTATACATTATCAATAAATGGGAAAGGATATAGATTGGAGGAAGTCAATGAATCATATTTCATTGAGTTCAAAATATTTAGTGTGGTTGGAGTTGGGGCAGTGGGTAGGGGAAAAAAAGAGACAATTAGGCTAATGAGCAGCAGAGTTTGGTGAGTTGAGGGTCAGTTGATTTCTTTACTAAGACTTCCTTCCCCTTTACTTCCTTTAAGCAATGATGTGTGAAGTGATGCCCACGATTAACGAGGACACCCCAATGAGCCAAAGGGGGTCCCAAAGCAGTGGCTCGGACTCAGACTCCCATTTTGAGCAGCTGATGGTGAATATGCTAGATGAAAGGGACCGTCTTCTAGACACCCTTCGGGAGACCCAAGAAAGCCTCTCACTTGCCCAGCAAAGACTGCAGGATGTCATCTATGACCGAGATTCACTCCAGCGACAGCTCAATTCAGCCCTGCCACAGGTATGCTTCCTGGTAGTACTTGTCCTTCCTATTGCAATTGCAAAAGTGACAAGACTTAAATAAGCTGTGCTTTATTTCTATTCTTATAATTATCTTTTCCCTTAAATTATATGATATGCATGTTTTGGTGAGAAAAATATAAAAATAGATTATTAGTTCACATAAAAATCTTACCCCAAATTTGTGGTATGTTGGTGATGGTGGGTGTGAAGGCTGAGTTCCTGTCTGGTCTCTCTTTTTTTTTTTGAAAATTTTATCTGTATGTTTTGATGGGCCTGTCAGCTGTTGATCAGCATTCAACTGCCCAAACGTGGGAATAGTTTTCTCCTTCTTGCTCTTTAAACAGTATTATGACATTTGGAAATATGTATTTTCCATTTTTAGCTGTGTGGTCTGTCTTTGGAAGTGATTGTAGTTTGGAAGTCTGCTGTCCATTTATATTTTATTTGTCTTTCTTTAAAAATGCCTAACACCTGCTCAAAATTCTTGGAATTATCATGTATTATCCTCTCTTCTCAAAAAACATTTCAACCAGTTTCTTTAAAAAATATTTAGGAAAATAGAGAAAAGGCAAAAGTTCAGCCTTATTCTCACAAACTTAAAATTGTTAGAGGTCTTTTGAAATATATGCTTCTCAAGCATCTTATGTTATAGGAAAATATATCATTTTAAGGGTTTCAAGCTTATTTATATACAAAGTTAATTTTGAGACTCAATTTTCTTATTTAAGAACAGAAGACTTGTGTTTGTTTTAGATATGAGAAATATTATAGAATATGAATAAGATTTGCAATAATCACCCCAGTACACTATATTTTTCTTTTGAGTACGAATTTGATTGGCCCTCTACTTTAAGGACAGTATAGAAATGTTGAAGAGTTGACCTCTCTCCATGAAGTATGTCTTGTGGCAAATATCTTTTCATGAATATTAAAAATTATATAATAAAAATTGATGAAATTCTAAACCCAGCTGTACTATTAACTTGAAGTGTGATGTTGAGATACTGAAGACTCTCAGAATGGAAAGGATCACCTAGAGTCCTTTATCACATCCCTATCAAGAAACCCTGTAGCCCTATATGAAGAACCCTTGTTCCATTCGTTTTCATTTTCAGTCAGCTTATCTTGTGTTAAGATGCAATACTATGTTCAGTAACTCTAACTGGTTTGTTTAAATACGCAGAAAGAGTTGATTCATTTCAAAAGACAAGTATCATATCTTCACCAATTATTATATTTTTCAAGGTTGACATTTCAGTCTTTGCAACTCTTCTTCATAAGGTGATTTTTGAAAGATCACCATCATGCTGACTCTCCTTTAAGATTATATGAGTTGCTTAATAGTGTTAAATTGGCTCCTGGACCCCTCAAACTATTCGTTATCTTCTGTGACAAGCATAGAATAAACAATCATTTTTCTTTCTGGATAGAGTGTTTTATTAAAGAAGCCTAGGATTACATTATACATGGCGGCAAGTTCAACATACTTTCAGTATGCCCTGGGACAGTAGTCACCTGAGGTTTATAATTGAGTTGCATAAATGCAGCATGCGTTCCCATTTTCCCTAAACTCTTGTTGGAAGTTGATTCCTTGGTCCTAAGTGTAGGACTATGCATATATCCCTCCTGCATTATCTTTGTATATCTTATTCAAGCCTGATTCTGTCAGTTTGGATCCTAACACTATCAAACTGATTCTAAGAATAATTTAAATGTTTAAGTTATTTCTCTATCTGTAAAAAGAAGAGAGAACAAAGTATATTTGGGGAAAAGAGGAGAAAACTGGAAATGCTTTCATACATACTATATTGTGCAGATAAATCTTTTCTTAAAGGTACAATAATAAATTCTAGCAATTCTGTTGTATTGAATATCTTGATTATAGTAAAATCTAAAATTTTAAGTTTTGAATTTTAATTATACTGGTCTGTAATCTTTTGTTCAAAACCCCTGGGGTCAGTTGTATTTTAGAGTTCAGAATTTTCTTGATTTTTTTGTATGTAAATGATGTATATTATGGAACACTTCTCCAGATGGATTCTGGGAAGCACCTCATAATCATACATTTTTGTGTCTGAAGAGAATTCTATGAATATTCCCATTGCATGGGAAAAATGAAGACCATAAGTCTCTCATGTTAGTACAGGTCTAGTTTTGCACCAGTCAAGTTAGCAACACACTTAAAATGAAATACCAGTTTTCAAAGTATATGGGTTTTGGAATTACAGATTACAGATTATGAACCTGTACATTTAGATGGACATAGTTCCAAAGTCTTTTACAAATACTTTGACACTTTTTTTAATGTTAATTTGCATTTGACTATTATAAATATTTGAGTAACACTAGCAATCCACAGGTCCTTAAAGAGAATGATGGTCCTGTCATATTTTTAAAGCAAGCTTTTAATAATCTAGTCTGTACCTTAAGGGCCGTAGGTTTTCTGCAAGCAATAGAGTTATTCTTCTTTAATTGGTATCTTGAATCTTTTTGACTATTTTGTAAGGAGTGTGCCTATGCTGTTTGGTGGCATTAGCATTGGATATTTAGCTGGAAGGAGAAAATAACTATAAATGTGAGTTTTGAGGCATTAAACATTGCTGTCTGTAAAACATCAGATATTATGGATGTTAGGTTGCATCTCCATTGTTAAACCTTCAATGAGAGTTTACATTTATGTAAGTTGTGCAAATTCTCTTTGTAAATACAGAGTGAAGTGTGGACATAAACTGGTCCTGCCATTTGGATAGTGGCACTAGGCAGATTTATGTGTGAACTAACGACAAAAATTCATGACTAGCAATATGTAAAATAAATTTTCTTTGCAGAAAAAAAAAATAAAGCATGTAAAATTGAAAACTACTACAGTAACATAAAAATGAAAATCATTGTAACAAACATGGGATAGAATTCAAAGCAGGGTCAAACTTTATGACATATTATGTTTTATACAATACTTTTAGGTGTTGGTGATTTAGTGCTTTGCTTTAGTCACTTTCTCTCTCAACATTGCTTTGTGAACAAATGTAGCAATGATTTTAACAATCCTAACCATGTAAAATATATTGTACCATAGTGTTTAGTTTTTCATATGTGACTGGGTGTTTAAAGAGTACTAATAATTCCATATCTCCAGGCCTGATGTTTCTAAGCTACACACTCGATTTTTTACCTTTCTTATGCACAGATGCATCTTAATGTTCCATAGAACCTCAGATTCAACGTGCCTCAAACTCAGTCATCCTCTGCCTCCTCTTTCCCATCCAAATATGGTGCTCAATCTCCTCACCCAGACACTGAAAGTCCTAAATTCAATCATCACTGGGCCATATTGTTTTTAATCTCTTGAATAATTCTCAAATCTCTATTCTTTTCTGTTTTTTTTTTTTTTTTGCACCTGGTCCCAAACTTCTTTTTCCATCTCCTAACATTTCCACTTTAGCTAATATGTCATGCCATGTGTTTGAATAATACACAAACTTCATGCTTTTCCAGCCCATGAAACTTCATGCTTTTCTAATATCTTCTTCATGCATATTCATCTATATGCCCATAATGTACTTCCTCAATGTCTTTGCCTCACTACTCGTCTTAACCAAGAATTTATCTCTTCCAGGAAGCCTTCTCAGAACCCCCAGGCACATTTCCTCTGTGTTTCTTAGCCTTATCATTTCCCATTTTATCATCAAATTATCTGCTTATATGCCTGTTTCCTAACTTAGACTGTATGCTCCTTAAGAATAGGAAAGTATCATAATCATCTACAATGCTCTGAACCAGTGGAGTACCAGGTCCGTAGTGAGGGCTTTTAAGGTAAAACCAGAACTAAATGCGTATTCATTTGGATGGAGAAGGAACAATAAACTTGAAATAGGAAGATCTAGTTTGTATTGTGACTCTTTCATATATCAACTTGCATCAGGACTTCAGATTTCCATGCTACAAAAATCAGTTAATACTAACACCTCACAAGGTAGTTTGTGATGATTAAAGAAAATAACATAAGTAAAAACTAATTAATTTGTTGGGGCGCCTGGGTGGCTCAGTTGTTAAGCATCTGCCTTCGGCTCAGGTCATGATCCCGGAGTCCTGGGATCGAGCCCTGCATCAGGCTCCCCACTCAGCGGGAAGCCTGCTTCTCCCTCTCCCACTTCCTCTACTTGTGCTCCTGCTCTCGCTATCTCCTTGTTCTCTCTGTCAAATAAATAAATAAAATATTAAAAACTAATTAATTTGTAATGCATTAAATATGAAAAGACTTGTGTCTGTTTATTCAGAATGCCAAAAAATAAATTAATTTCTATATATGTATGTCAATGAGCATTAGAATAATTTACTAGGAATATTGATCAAATAGTATTAAATTTTTTGAAAACAGGACAGATATTTGTCAATTACTAATATACTTAGTAAGAATATTTAAAGGAAAGGGGAGGGAAGAAGTGAGTTTTCCATTTTTAAAAATCATTATTTATAAAAGTTTACAATTCTTTTTTAGCGCTTTTTTTTAGCATATATTGAGGGTCTTCTGTGTATTATTAAATTGTTATATATATTTGTAAAGGGGATAGGGAATAAGAGGAACATAATTTGGCTCCCAGAGAATTCAGGAAATAAAGTTGCTTAGAAAAAATATATAAATGGATCTAAATTAATATAGTACTAGAAGCTTATAGAAGTACTGAAAAAATTTTGAGCTATAATATTGACATATGATTAAATACAAAAAGTTTCATGTGTAAAGTGATATTAAAGAGGTATTTTCAAAAAATTTTGGAGGGGCTCCTGGTGGCTCAATAGGTTAAGCATCTGCCTTTGGCTCAGGTCATGACCTCCCTCTCCCTCTGCTGCTCCCCCTGCTTATGCTCTCTCTCTCTGTCAGATAAATAAATAAAATCTTTAAAAAAATGTTGGAAAGAATTCAAGGATATTCTTTCTATCCCAAATCAGAATCAAATAAGGAGAATAACTGACAGATATTTTTGTCAAAGAGTTGTA